TTTGAAGCCCACCTCATGATTTCTTGAGGCATGGCTCTGGGCCAGTAATATTTGCATTAATTCCTTAAATGAAAATGGTTTGAGCTCAAGGCACCAAAATCCTGCAGAAAGAACAGGACTATAAATCCTGCAGAAAGAACAGGACTATAAATCCAGCAGAGCAGAATCTCCCTCTTTTGCAACTCTTGTTACAGAATAATACCAACGAAAGGTCATGTGCAGCCACCTAATCTTAGTCAAGCAATAATACTCTTTACATTGAATAATAAGAGAATTACTGTGAGGCACAAGGATCACCAATCTTACTTGTAAATATAACCCCACTGTCAAGAGATTTTTAGGGTCTGGGGGAAACAGGAAGGGTAGGATTGCACAAGATTGCCAAAAATCTTGCTTTGTTTTTCCTCATTTGGTACATTTTCTTTATAATGTATTTCTTAAATCAAGATTTTGCCGGTGTGTTTTTATCGCATGGTCCCACAGCTAAGACTGACGGGAAGGGGAAGGAAGAAGAGGCCAGAGATAATAAATCCTTAAACCAACCTCACAGCCAAAGTACATTTGTCCACATCCCCAGTGGTTCAAGCCTCCCTTTGCCTGAAGTGTATTAAATTCTGAGTGTGATCAATAAATATTTTAGATATTGATGAGCTGAAGTCTATCAGTTTTAGTGGGGAATCAGACAAAGAAGAAAACTGGGGTTTACACTGTACCCTCCACATCTGGTTCACAGCCCAGCAATTGTCACTGTCACGGCTCTGATGGCCAGTGGATCAAACAACTCTTTCCCCATAACAGAAGAAAACCCTGGGGCACATAAATGTCCCAGGCTTGGAAAGATTAACAGGGATTACAGCAAAGGGAAATGGAAGAATTCAGGCAGAGCCCCTGTCAGGTGGCAGAGAAAGAGGAAGAACAGAGCTCCTCCATCAGCCAAAGGGACTGGTGAGCCAGCCAGTGTTGGATTCAGGAGTGGCAGGAATAAAAGGAGGATAAAGGAGTGGGAGAGGCTCAAAGAGCAGGGGGAGCCAGGGAACACAGTGCATGCAAGGCACTTCACTGACAGAGGCAGTGAGAGGCACAACTTTTTGTACACACAGAACCTTCTAAACAAACAAGGGGCAACTCAAAATTAACTTTTCCTGTGGTTCATTTCACGTAAACACCAGAGGTAGGTGGGAAAGAACTTGAAAGAGGAGAATTCTGTGAACGTACACACGAAAGCTGCCCTTGAACTCATCTGCAAATTCCCTGTTGGCACTGCATTCAGCCAAAGTCTGGAGTCAGCCATCCTGTTCCCTACCAGCCAATGGGCAGTTACAAAAATCCAGTGCTGAGGGGAAAATTGAAAATCTATGAAAAATGACACCAGACAGGTAAAGGTCACATGCAACCCTTACTCTTTTGACCCGTCCTCTGGCACCAAATGCAAGTTCTCACGAACTGTCTGGACTTGAAACTGATATTTGCCCAACAACTGACATCTTCCCACATAGAACTCCATGAAATTACTTGGCAAAATAATCAACACGGAGGAGGGAGCTTCATTATTAATGTAAATAGCTCACTTTCTCCAATTACCAGTTTTTCAAAAGCCATTAATTTGTGGGCTTTGACCCAAGAATGCAAAACACACGTTGATTTAGAAGACATGCAAGATGGTGTTAAGAGAGCTGCTGTCACACCACGTGTGAGCAAAGCAAATGGACAGATCATGCACAGTCAGGGTTGGCATCACAAGACAACAACAAAACACTGAGTGAACCTGAACTCAACCCTATGCTTTAGGGACTGATTTAATTCCACTGAAATCGTTGCCCTTAACACAGACAGCTAATCTAAGGCTTAGCATGGTGACTGAGGGGATACCCTGAAAGGCTTTGCTTATTCATTAATTCTGCAGTTTAAGTTCACAGAGGAGAATTTTAATCTCCATGTAGGGTGCAAAAACGTCCCCAGTATGGGAGGGTTCAAGGCAAGTTGTGACAGAGGCACAGTGTTTGCTATGAGCAGTGCATCTGTATCTTATCTGTGAAGCAATCTGTTGTGTGAGCTCCAATTATTTAATTCTGTAGAGAACAGCATTCTGGTTTGCATTTGCTCCTAGAAATCTCAATGTCTCCCATTCAGCCTGTCCATCCTGCACTACAAAGTTACACAAAACATGAAGCTTTTAACTCATTTCCACAGCATCAGCAGCACAACCGATTTCAAAGTATGCATCGTGATAAGAAGGTTTTCTATAATTAAGAGTATAAGCAAATATGCAAATTCACATATTTACATGTCTGGGTGAATCTCTGGGGTTTAGGTAAAAGCTTCTCCCAAAAGCTGTTACCATTGATTGGACACAGGTGTTAAGAATAATTAAAGATATAAGGAATATCATTATTCAGCCATCCTTCAGTGGAAATCACATTAAAGCCGAGCCATTTTCCATTAGGCTTATTACATTATTCCCAGTAAGATCACTGGTATATTTGATTTTCTACCATTATTAGACAAGCTTTCTCCTGGATCAGTCCCAATTTACCAATAACTCTAACTATTTGCAACCACTACCTCAATTTCCTATCCTAAAATCCCACTGTCAAAAATATTCCTGGAATATTATCCTATTGCAATTTACCAACAGAACCTAGACAAGTGGTCCCAACCATGTCTTACCTCCAAACATGACCAGAATAAGCCGAAGCATTTCACCCCAAATAACTGCATTTTGTGCATTAAATCTGTTTTGTAAACCTCCTTTTTTTTTCATTACAGCAACATTATGAAAATTCTGACTAGATTCAGCATGCAGAAGAAGTCTTTGTCAATGATACTGAGACACAGGAAGATGAAGTTGTAGTTATGGGAATGCAGAGGTGCTGGGAGTTCTGGATTCAATCCCTGGCTTTGCTGTAGACTCCCTGCATGACCTTGGCTAAATCAATCCCAGGACAGCCCAGTTCCTACTGATGTGCCTGCTCCTGGTCAGCAGACCCTCGGTAATTCATTCAGAAGCCCTAAATAAGCTGCAAAGCCACACAGGATCAGCTGACAAAATGAGTTCCAAGGGTCTTAATAGACTTCAGGCTACAGAGAGGTGGAGCTTGAAGACTTCATTATTGTCTAGACTCCATTTCCCACAATAAGGACTTCAGATTAATCACCACCCAGGTGTTCTCTTTCCTGGCAATTAAAACACTGTGGCACCTATTTTGACCCCAAGTTTGCTCCCCCAGCTCCTCCCACAGCACTGTGCCTTCAATTTTGGTGCCCCAGTTCTCAGTCTTCTTTTCCTTCTCCCAGTGACTGCCACTAAATCCTTTTGTTCCACTGCCACTAACTTTTTTAGTGGACAGCTCCCTCTCACTGGCCTCAGATGGGGCCACAGCAGACCTAATATTCTCCTGCTATATTCACAAAATAGCAAATTAAAGCTGACTATGCAAGCTGGCTTCCCACAGCCAGGTGCCTAGCCATCAAAATTAAGCTATTGCCAGATGTACTAATGATAGTGGCTGGCTGCTGGAGCCTGGGGTTAACTGAGGATACTCAACAATATGCCAATATGAAGTTGGGGTGCAGTTCTAACACAGGAACATTGTAAACACGAGATTCTCCAAACTGAAATCTTAAAATGGAAAGAATTAAATAGTATTTGTGCTGCATGCTATAAATTTTTAAGAGCAATTTACAAGAACATTTAAAATGTGGCTGTCTATTCCTAATCCTCGTATTTTGGGGGCCATCCATCTGCATACTATCTCTTACTTAAGAGATTATCTGTGAAGGTCTTGCCAGTCTTTAACAGTATCATTAGTAATGAAATACCAAAAAATGTAAATACAAATACTTGAAACTGTTGGAGAAATAATAGATAATCCATCACAGAAAATGTGCCTGCTTTAAAGCAGCACACCAAGAAACTGAAATGCATTAGCCATTCATACAATAACAAAGTAACTCAGAAACCTACAATTCTGAAAACATCATTTCACAAGGGCATTTGCAGACCTCACATCTGTTATCTCCAGTGGACTTTGGATTTTCTAGAAAGAGATCACCTTATTGTCAGGAAAAAAGTCACTCAAGAATCCACTTAATGAATAAAGAGTTTATGTGATGTTATCAGGTGGGGTACAAGGCTCCCATATTGTCTGTCTCTTTGCAGACATGTCAATTCTCTGCAAATATTTTTGCTTGGAAACAGGGAGCATAAGAAGTCAAGGAATATGACATTAAAAGCAGACACACGGATGGTTTAAAACAACCAAAGGAGGAGTCTACTGGAGCAACACGCGCTTATACTGCAAACGGGGGGTGTTTCTGGTGATTCAGACAGTGCAGCAAGGATGCACTTGGAGCACATGTTCTCCCAGAACGATCTGGGCAGACGCCTCGGGAGCGCAGGACGGAGGGAAGGCTGGGGAGCAAACGGCAAACCTGCTCACCGCGCCAGAAACCGGGATTTACGCCTAAGACCTTCCTGCCGCTCCACATTCCCCTCGCCCCGAGCGGCATCTTTATCCTCCGGGGGTTCGGCAAGAAGGCACCGGGACCACCCAGGCGGGGACCCCAGCGTGTGTCTGAGCTCCGGGGATCCCCCACAGGGTCCCTGTCTCCCACTCCGGGACCGGATCGGCCGTCCCTCAACTCTGCGGAGCTGCTGAGGCCGTAGGGCATCACCCCAGAGGGCAGGGCATCATCCCTCGGGCAAAGGGGCGTCATCCCCCTACGCAGGACATCATCCCACGGCAAAAGGGCAGCATCCCCCCCTCCGCAGGGCGACAGTCCCCGGGCAAAGGGGCATCATCCCCCGGGCGGTGAACGGGCTCAGGCCTCGCCCCGACATCCCGCAGGGGCCGCGGAACATCTCCCGCATCCCCCGCTGCCGGCACCGCGGAGCATCTCCCGCATCCCCCGCTGCCGGCACCGCCTGCGCCGCGAGAAGGGAGAGGAGAAGGAGGAGGAGCCGCCCCAGCGCCCGGGGCAGCCCCCGCCCGGCCGCCTACCTGATTTGGGGTAGGTGACAATCCAGACGTCGCTGTCCCTCACCGGGAAATTGGCGATCTCCTCCATCTTCCCGCGGCAGAAGGGCGGCAGCCGCACCCCATTGTACTCGAAGTACTTGCTCTCGAACTCGCAGGGCGTGCTGGGGGTCTCGGCCTCGCTCTCCGCCATCCTCGTCCCTGCGGCCGCGGGGGAGGCCGAGGAGCGGGGGCCGCGGGCGCTCCGGCGGGAGGGAGGGATGGAAGGGAAGGGGAGGGGAGTGGAGAGGAGGGAAAAGGGGCGGGCGAGCGGCGGGCGCGGCAGCCCCGGCCCCCGGCACAGCCCCGCGCACGCACGGGCGGGGGCTCCGCGCACGGTGATGTCATGGGCGGCTGCGGGCAGGGATGCAGGGAGGGATGGAGGGATGCGGGAAGGGATAGCCACCCGCTCAGCACCCCTTCTCCTCCCCGGGTGGGCAAGGGAGGGACGCAGGGATGGAGGGATGCCCCGCCGGCCTCGCCCGCCCCGCCGCGCCTTTCGTCTCCGGGTGGGCAGGGAAGGGATGCGGGGATGGATACCCGCCCGCCCCGCAGCCCTTCTTCTCTCCGGCTGGGCAGGGGCGGGATGCAGGGATGCCTTGGCCGGCCTCGCTGGCCCCGCAGCCTCGCTACTTTCCTCTCCGGGCGGGCAGCGGAGTGATGCGGGGATGGATGGCGGGATGCCCGCCCCGTAGCCCCTCTCCTCTCCGCACATGGTCGGGGCAGAGGCAGGACCTGCCGCCATCCCCGTTTCCACCTCAGTGCCAAGGCCTGGCCCCAGAGCGAGCAGCGGGAGGCTGGGGAGGCGCACGGAGGAGGGGGACGAACAAACAGCAGCAGGTTTCCCGGTGCATCGGGAGCTCGTCCCCACCCTTGCACCAAGCGCAGGTACGACCCGGGGTGGGGAGAGGTGAGATAGCGAGAAAGGGGCACACACCTACTCATTCAGCAACACAAATCATTTGCTCCTTACAGTGCTCGTGTTCAAACCCATACCTGTTTTCCACATAAGAGCTTCTCTATCCTGGTCCCTCGTCCCAATCTCCTGGATGGCATCTCTTTGCATCTGGTGGGGTAACAGCTTCCATAAAAGCCTGAGGGGTCTTTCATGGGGTCCTCAGGTCTCAGCAGCTACTCAGCATATTCCCTGCCTACTCCAGCTTGTGCCTTGGACTTTCCAGGCTGGCATCAGAGCTGCTCATTAACACAATTTGTTTGGTGGCTATTAAGCAGCAGAAAACATGCCCAGCGTTGATGGGGACTGGTTAGGGAGGATACAGCCCTCTCTGCCTGCTCATCCCTTCTTCCTGCTCCTGCAGCACCAGTGAAACCTGGGATACAACTCCATCAGCACTCTCACCTGCATCTATAGGCAAGATAGCCCAGGTGCTGCTGCTCAGGGTATTTAAAGCCTATTGGTGCCTGATGGGAAGGTATTAAAAGGTATAAAAAGGGCCTCTAGGCCCCTTTAAAATGTGTTTGTGCTACAGAAATGAAGGGTGGCTTGGCTGCCTGGTCTGGCAGGAATGAAAAGCTGGAAGTATTTCAACAGGATTAAGAGTTCTGTTAGGCCCAGAAAGGTCAGTGAAGAGTTTTGGTTTATTTTACTCTTATTTGTCATTTAGTAATGGCTTTATTTTTTGTTTAATAATGTAGTTTTCTGTAACGATGCTAAAACAGAAGTTCTTTCAAAGCTCCAAAGCGTCTGTGACAGGTGAACATTTGAAAGAAAAAAAATAAGCACATAAAGAAGTGACAAAATAAGGGAGAAGGATAAAGTTACATGGAAAGTACGTATTTCTAGGTACTAGGGAGTAAATTATAGCTAATTTCAAGTGAGTTTCCTGAAAGGTAAACAGCAACCAGTTAGAGGTTGTGTGTCCTGTAACTGTCTCTTTATAGAACCAACCTCAGAAAAAGTAGCAGCTCAAACAGCTGAGGGCAGTAACTGATTTCAGGCTTCATAGTTCTAACTGCCAGCATTCAAAAAAATCAATGCTCTTACTGTAGTTTACTTATATTTGTTCATACTAATGATAAATTACAGGTATTAAAACTATGGTTGGAGCAGGTGGGAAAAGCATGTCAAAAGCTACCCTCAAAAACATTGCTTGATTGAATAGTAACATTTTGCAGGAGTGTGTTTGGTATAAAATCCTCAAACAATAACAATAAAAAACAAGTAAATAAAACCCCCAACAACTATAAAGAGAAAAATTACCCCTAATCAGGGGTCAATTGGTAAGACTTGTCCTAGAAGCTGATAATGCAAGTTCAAGTCCTTGTGACACTAAGTTTAGTTTTGAGCCTGTTTCTTCAAGACACTGAAATCAAAATTGTGGTGACATAAAAAAAAAAATTGTCTTTTTTAAAAAGACAAATTTTCACTAAAAAGCACCATGACAAGAATAACAGGCAGCTGTGAAGTTGATATTCTGTATTTTGCGGTAATATTTTAAACTCAGAAACAACTGGCATTCTGTTCTTTCCTCTTCTATTGGGTTTTTTAATGGTGTGATTTCTTCTTTCCTTGGTTACCAAAATTATTCAGAATTTCAATTTTCTATGAACAGTAGAGTTGTGGGTATTGTATTTCCATGGTTAAACCATGAGGTTTACCTTTCTCTTTCGCTTCTTCTCCCCACCAGGGCAGTGTAGTGAGGGAAGGATTGTGTGGTACTTGGTTGCCTGCTAGGGGTTAAACCATGATGCCAACAAAAGAGAGAGCTTGAACTCTAGTCTCCATTACTACTTCTTTTATTCATAATTTAGGAATAAAATTCAGACACAGATGTGGTCTCTGCTCAATACGTCAAGTGGAGGGAGCTGTGCTGACAATAGAAAACCTTTGTTTCTATTTTTCCCTCTAATAGGAGTAACTCAGGGTGGAATATCTGCTTCCATAGAGCAAAAAGCAAGGCAGGCATTAGAATGAGGCACCCAAAAATATTGGGAGCTCTCTCTTTAGCATTGGATGCTTTCACTTACCTTTAATGTTTTAAATGGAAGAGCAGCTGGAGCTGAATGTGGCTGATAAACCAGGTGCCCTGGATTAACTGCACTTGGAAAGACCTCAAATATGCTCTAAAGAGATAAACCATCCAGGAGTGTTTCACTTAACCCTCAGACTAGAGAGGAGTTGTGGAGGGAGTTATAATGTATAGCCTGCAAAGTAATTTGCAGTAGATTTGGGGGTTTGTGTGTTTACAAGAAAAAATTACCAGTCTTTCAGTCTATTTCCCAGCCTTTTCTGTAACACTCAGGCTGCTCTGTAAGGTTACTGGTTCCAGAATGTCAGGGTATTCAGTATCCCCATGAAGGAGCAGGAAGAAATGTAGGTGAAACGCTATGGATTTTATCACAGTGATGTAAGCTGGGACTAACCTCAGATTAGCTCTGCTGGTCGGAGCATGGAGCAAATAACACCAGGGTTTGATTCCTGCATGGGCCAATTCAATTAAGAGTTGGACTTGATGGTCCTCGTGGGCCCCTTCCAGCTTGGAATATCCTGTGATTGACTCAGTCTTACAGAAGTCACTAAACTCACCTCTGTGTAAAACTTGGCTAAGAGGAAACTAAGGAAAAGAATATCTTAGAAGAAAAACGAAATGCTGACCTTGGGGAAATGTTGTCACCTTCAGATTTGCAAAAGTAGGATTTAACCCTGGAAACAGCCTGTCTGTCCCTCTGCTGCTTTGGTGTGACTATTTCTGTGGTCTGTCCCTGCAAAAAGGGCTCCTGTGCCTTTGTGCTCCTGAAGAGTTGGGAGGTGTCTCCTTGTCTCTGGTGTGAGATGCGCCTGGAGCAGAAGACACTGTAAAGAACATCCCTGCCTCGAGATGTGTGCGCTGCTGCACACACAGAAATGGAGCTTCAGCTCTCAAAATCCATCTGATGGCAAGATGATAAATCTGGCAGTGTTTTTACTGAACCACTGCAACACCAACCTGCATCGAGGCTGGAGGGGCACCTCCACAGACAGATGAACCGTTTGGATGTGTTGGGATGCCAACTGCAGCTTAGTTTTAGATGTGACGTCTGTAAATGCTCGAGTGGATGTAGTGCTGCCCCAGTAACAGTGTGTGATGTCGTGTTACTGCAGTGAACAGCTGTGCAGGGGGGGTGGTGTTTGTAAAACACCTTCTGCTGGTTTTCACATTTGTTCACTGAGTACATGGGAACTTTCAGGAACGTTTCTTCCTGACTCAGCCCAAATGTGAGGGTTGAGCACGTGGGCCTAGCACAGCATTTCATTCCTCTACTGTGAGTGTGACTGAGGATCAAGCTGTTAATTAGTACTCACCAGCTTTTTTCTCTTTCTAGCACCTGGAACTAGGAATTCGTCCTCTGGCCTCATAGCCAGGATGTTAAGGAACAGGATCCCTTTTCTGCTAGGATTTCTGTGTAACTTTGACTAACTCAGCATCCCTGTGCTTTAATTTCCATCCATCAAAACAGTGTAAGTACTGTAATCCACCTCTCAGGGCTGTCTGAAGGTGAATTCCTTGCTTCTCATTACCCAGTCACAAGGTTCATGGGCTTTCTAGGAGGCAACGTGGACACAAATCATGAGTTATTTGATGATGATCAGAATGCAAGGGTTTGTATTTCCCTGTAAAATGTTGTTAACTGGTGCTTGAAAGAGCCAGTTCCTCGATGTCCCAGACTGCAGGACACTGCTCAGGAGCAATGCCAATCACTCACTGTGACAACTCTGGGGCAGGCCCTTGCTGTATAATATTTTTCACAAATTTACAGTGTTTCTAAAATCATAAGCCTCCATCATTTCAAATTCAGCAGACTTGGATCATGAACACGTGTAGACATCACATATCATCTTCATCCTGAGCAGGACCCTTCCCAAGAGGCCACATAAGAGACTTTCAGACAAGATCAGTGTGCTGTACCATCAGCCTAAACAGTGTAAGGAAATATGGGATCACTTGGATGTATCATGTACATTGTTCATGAAATGAGGGCAGGAACAGGATAGAACCCCAAATATGGGATAACTTGCCTAGCTTAGTTAACCACTCTGTAAATATTTCTCAGTGGGTTGCAGATGGCTTTAGCTATTTCTAAATGTGCACGTTTCTTCATTCCATCCTCCCATGGTGTTGAATTTGTGACTATTTTAACAGCAACTTCTATTAAAAAAAAAAAAAAGGCTAATTTTTAACTTAGGATAGCTTTTGTAGCATAGCTCTATATGGCTGGGACTAGGCCATAAGGAAAG